TGCGCTTCCCGATGAACGGACTCATTGTACCCGACCTCAATGCGTCTCAGCCGCCCAGTGGTATGGGGCTTGGGTCCGAGATCGTTTCCGCACCAGGCGGCCTGTACAGGCTGTGCTGGTGCAGTGGCTTCAAGCCGTCTGGCTGCTTGCGTGGCACGGATTTCCAAACTGATCTAGGTGCCATGACCATATTGGGGGTCAGTCCCCAGCAACAAGACCGAACCTGCATCAGCGGCAGAGTATGTGCTGTAGATCCTTTGCTGGGGCATGGCTTGAGTGAGTCTGACAGCTACATGATCTTGGGCACCTGTGGTCAAGCTGCCACGACGGTCGGCATTGGTAAGGCAAGCTTCAGCTCACATCCGAGGATCATCTGGGCCGATACATTGACAGCAGCTGGTGGCGAATACCGATTGTGTTGGTGCTCCGGACTGCCGTCACCGCCAACGGATGACTTCAACATATCCAACACATCCATCGTGACAGCAGGCAGCAGCATGACCGGAAACACGTCCGTATGTTCGGTATCTTGGGACTTTGGCATCGATGCCGGCAAGCTTCTCGTGCTAGGGCCGGCACCTCTTTTCCACAGGAGCACGTGTGCAGCGGGTCAGACATGCGCCATCGATGTCGCTGGGACGGGACTATCATCTGCAGATCTGCTTTTGGTGCAAGATACGTGTGGCCAGCTGTTTGCATCGACTCCTTTCGCAAGCCCAAGCAGCCTGCGCCTGTCATCGTACAACAGCAGCAACATCAACGTCTCCTTTTTGGCCGCTCAGCTGTCAAGAGCATGATGACATCATCAATGTGTAGTCATGCCGTGTCATGTTGTAGCAGGTGCATAGACACGAAACTGAATCGTCAGCTAGAAAATCTAAGGATGCAGCTCGATCAGCAACTGCTGATCTGGGCCGAAGTGTCAGGGCCGGGAAATATCGCCTATGCTGGTGCCAGGGCACGTCGAACGTGTCGGACTGTCGTGTCGAACATTTTGACGTCGACTTCGGGGTGCTGCAGATCTTCGGCCCAGCCCTGCAGCAGGACCGTACCTGCGTGAGTTCGATGGCCTGCCAGATAAGCGGGATCGAGGGCACCGGTTTGGGCAGCGGTGATTCTTTGATGTTGCTGGAGACTTGCTCTTCCGGAGCCATGCTGGATGGTCTTCCGGCAGTGCCCTCGTCAACTCTCTCCGGTTCGAGCTTCGACTGGACTGCCAACTTGACAGAGATTGTCATGAGCTCACCAGGCGGCCTGTACAGGCTCTGCTGGTGCATGCGCGGATATCCGTGCGATTTGATCGAGCACTTCGTCGTCGACATGGGTGCTTTGCATGTGATCGGTCCTGCCCCGTTAACACAGCATCGAACGTGCAGTAGCGGCCAATCATGCCTCTTGGATGGCTTGGTACAGGTCGGCAGTACGGAGGCCAAGATCTTGGTGCTAGAGACATGTGGAACATCCGCTCTCATCATGCCCCCTTCTGGACATGCTATCCCGTCCAGTAGTACGTCGGGCAGAGCGGATGTCACTGGCCAAGTCCGTTTCGCTGCGGGTGGCTTGTACCGGCTGTGCTGGTGCGGCGAGCTGTTGCAGGATGCAAATGCCACAAGTATTCCGGGCAATGCGAGCGGGCTATGCAAACTGGCGCAGAATTTCGGGGTTGATATGGGTGGCTTGACGATGCTGGGCCCGGCACCTCTGCAGCAAGACAGAACTTGTGTGGCAGGCGCAAGCTGTCTCCTTGAAGGCTTCCTAGGAACTGGCATGGGAGCAGGTTCCTTGCTACTCCTGGAAACCTGTGGGGTTGCTTCTTCGGCGGACTTCGGAGCATCAGGACGACCGGGTCAACCCATGGGCCCAACGGTGGCAGCTCTGCTAGCGTCGGGTGCCGCTTTCCGCTGGGAGGCACGGGTTCCTGCCGCCCCTTCTGGAGGAAGCTTCCGGCTTTGTTGGTGTGCTGAGAATCCGCCCCAAAACTTCACCAACTACACGAGCTGTGCCATTTCGCCCGACTTCACCGTGGACATGGGAATGGTGCATGTCATGGGTCCTCTTGCAGGGGCAACGCAGCAACAGTTCACCTGCGTCGGCGGCCAGCGCTGCACTCTAAGTCCTATCAGGGGTCTGGATCTGATGCCTGGAGATCAAGTCTTGGTGTTGGACACTTGTGGCGCTCAGGGCATGCCAGCCGATGTATCAGGTACCTTCGTCGTCGGTGGTCTTCGTAACTCTGTGCTGGTATGGGATGTCCAGGCGGCTCCCCTTCCCGGTGGGCAGTATCGACTGTGTTGGTGCGGGAGCCAAAGCATGTCCACATCAAATCACACTTCCCAGCTACAGGCGGATTGCAAGACAGATGCTGGAGGACTCAGTATATTATCTCCCGCATTGCATCAGCAGCGAACGTGCGTCAGTGGACAGACTTGCTCCCTGGACGGCATCACTGGTTACGCCTTATCCTCGGACGATGCAATTATGGCTTTGGACACATGTGGAGCCCCCACAGGTGTCATCAACATGCTGGCGAAAGCAGCTGTTGTCTCACACAGTGGTGCCGCGGCTAGATGGGATGCAGCTGTGGTAACAGCCGCTGGTGGCATCTACCGACTTTGTTGGTGCGCCGGCCTGCGTGGTGAGGAAGGCCACACCAACTCTTCGTCATGCAGAACTCCATCGGGCTTCACCGTGGATTTTGGGGACCTGCATCTTATTGGACCCCATCCGTTGCACGCCACTCGCACCTGCATTTCTGGACTGCCATGTGTGACAGCGGCTTTGGAAGGCTTTCACCTGTCCATTCACGACCGCTTCGTGATGCTGGACACTTGTGGTGAAAGGCTTTCCGTGGTTGGAGGTGCAGGCCTGGAAATCTTGCAGGGGATGGCCTGTTGATGCATCTCCTTGGCCTTGTCTTTGCCAAAAAGCAACTCTCGCTCTCCGTTTATCGCTCTTCATTCATCTCAAGCGCTCGCACTTAGCTCGTCCTTTGACTCCGGACCGGCCTGTCACTTTCGCTCCATTGTGGGCAACATGAATTGTGATTCGAAGCCGTTTGTAGCCCATATTTGCGAAGCTGTGTCGAGACACCGAAGAATTAGAGTAAACTCGGTCACGTTCTGTGAGGGCAATCATTCTGACAGGCTACGGAGCGCCGCGTGGAGCTCAGGCAAGCAATGCCACCCTGGCTGCTGGGACTATCGCGTGGGACACAGGCGTCTCTGGCCCCTTGGCCGGCTTCAATTGTTCTAGCTGGATACCGAAGTTACTAGTTGCTACCAGCTGCCAGAGTCTCGGCCTGTCGACGCTTGATTGCGGTGCCCAGGTGATGTGATGGGAGGCCAGTACCGAATCTGTTGGTGCAGTCAAGATTTCCAGTGTTCCTTGGCGGAGGATTTCTCCGTTGACTCTGGGAGTTTATTCATGGTCGGCCCAGCTCCGCTCGGACAGCATCGCACTTGTGTTGCTGGGTTCAGCTGTTCAGTGGATGGCATCACTGGCATGGCCTTGAATGCAGAAGACACTTACCTTTTGCGGGACAGCTGCCACGTATCAGCTGCACCTCCCGAAGGGCTACCGGACGCGGGCCTGGCGATGCGGACCGCAAGCGGGGCCGTGCAGTGGGGGGCGGCTGAGCATCATCTGACAGCGCAGGGTGGGGTTTATGCCCTGTGCTGGTGTGCAGCACTTCCGGGGGCATCCAACTCATCCAATAAATCAATGTGCTCCCAGTCCTCTTCTTTTGTGCAGTTTGGTTCCCTGACAGTAATCGGGCCAAGTCCGACAGATCAATCGAGAACTTGTTACAGCGGCCAGCCTTGCATCCTCAGTGGTTTGACTGGACTACATCTTGCAGATACGAGTCAGTTGAGAATACTCAGCAGCTGTGGAGGGGAGCAAATCCCAGGATGGCCTGATGACTTCCAGCTGCTCTTGCCATCCGAGAACTCAAGCGGTAGCATGTCTGTTCGCTGGGGCACAGTTTCAGCCGCTGGAGCAACCTACCGCCTCTGTTGGTGTTTCGACCATGCCTGTGATTCTCTGGGCACTTGGATTGATTTCGGCACGCTGCATCTGGCTGGCCCACAGCCTCTGCAGCAGCATCGAACCTGTATTACAGGACAGCTTTGTGGTTTCGCTGGCCTCACAGGCTACGCCCTTCCAGCTGCCAGCCATGTGATGGTCTTAGAAACCTGTGGTGCCGACACAAGGGGATGGCGTGCTAGTGACGCAGTCGCGCTTCGGAATGATAGCAACATCTCTGTCTGGCTGACGCAGCCAGGAGGCACGTACAGAATGTGCTGGTGCTCCGCCGTGGACAGCCCCTGGTCATCGAATGCCAGCTCCACTTCCAGCGACTGCAGTCTGAGCGGTGATTTCCGTGTGGACATGGGGGAACTTCTGGTCATCGGTGTGGTCCCGCTCGTGCAACATCGCACCTGCATCTCCGGACTGACCTGCTCGTTCCATGTCGATGGACTCTGGCTTGGTACGGGAGATGTAGTTTCCGTTTTTGACACTTGTGGCACAGAGGCTTCCAAGTACTCTGCAGAGCTGGTTGATCTGTGGGGCAACAGCACCGGCAACAGGAGCTTGGAGAGCAGGGCTGTCTCTGGGGCCACCCTGCGACCCGGCACACTGCTGGCCTTGAGCGGTGGGTCGTACCGCTTGTGCTGGTGTCCAGGCTCCGTTCGCGATTGCCTCGGCGGGCAGGATTTCAATGCAGATTTCGGGGCGCTTACCGTAATTGGGCCAAGGCCGAAGCAGATGAGAACTTGCGTGGCGGGACAAGCGTGTGCGCTCGATGGAATCGAAGGGCAGGACTTGAGTCCAGAAGCCAGCTTCGCGGTTCTGGACACTTGTGGCACCACCACCAGCGCACCATTCCTGCCAAATGTCATCGTGCACGATAGCAGCACTCTGCCACTGAGCGGGTTTACGCTGCAAGACTTCTCAACGACACCGGTCATTGCTGGTCAATACAGTTTGTGCTGGTGCCCACGACCAGCCGTCAACACATCCATGGCTGGCTTAAACCAATCTACGCCGCCCTGCTTGCTTGAAGATCACTCCGTGCCTGCAGGCATCCTGCAGATCATTGGGCCGTCTCCATTGCAAAACACTCGCACCTGTGTCAGTGGGCAAGCATGTGCAATTCACGGCCTGACGGGAGCCGGTGCCTATCATTTGACTCCCGGCGATCAACTTCTCTTGCTTGACACGTGTGGAGCTTCGGGAGCCTTGCTGCAGCGGTCAGTGAGGCAACCCATGTCCGCACAGACGGCACTGGTTTTCAGCAGCGGAGTCATCTTCTCCTGGCCCGACATGCAGTCAACTGCTGGTGGGAACTACCGAATGTGTTGGTGCGCTGCTGGCTTTGCTTGCAGCACTGCTGATCATTTTCGCGTTGATGTCGGGGAGCTGCTTATTCTGGGTCCAGCACCGCTCCTGCAGGATAGGACCTGCGTTAGCGGACATCGCTGCAATGTAGAAGGTCTGCAAATGTTTCCAGCTCCGAACCAAGGCAACTCATCTGTGAATTCCTCGCTTCTCTCTGTCATGGTGCTGGACACTTGCGGGACCTTCTCTCTACCAGCGCGGCTAGCACCAACGGGTGGTGCTGCTGGAAGCGACCTGCTTCTGAGTGAGCATGTCAGTTCCGCAGGAGGCATGCACAGGCTCTGCTGGTGCGGCATGCCCCCATGTGAGAAGGCTACTCACTTCAACGTCGATGCTGGGCATCTGCTACTTCTAGGTCCGAGCCCATTACAGCAGCAGATGACCTGTGTCAGCGGCCAGAGTTGCGTCGTGCAACTCAGCTCCTCCACCATGACGGCAATGGAGATGTCCATGCATACAAGTGTGTATCTCTATGATGCGTGCCCTGCTACCACACCGGTGAGCGCAGCCGCTCCGATTGTAGGTCCGCTGCAGTCTGCTCCTGTGGTGCTAACAGCTGCAGGGGGAGTATATCGGATGTGCTGGTGTAGCGCATTGGATGGAACTACATGTGCTCCCAGTGATTACATTGTGGATGCCGGCCAGCTGTTACTGATTGGACCGTCGCCTCACTCACAAACTCGAACTTGCATTGGCGGCCTTGCTTGTCGGTTCCACGACTTGGATGGGCTGCACCTGCAACCTGAGGATCGACTGCTGCTACTTGACACTTGTGGTCAGAACTCTTACGTCGGTGTAGCAGCCTTCCTGCATCCTCCAGGATCGCAATCAAACGACACCAATGCTACCGGACCTGTGATATCAGCTGTGTCAGCTCTGTCCTCTCTGCTGCACATCACGGGGGCAGGCGGTGGGTACCGACTTTGTTGGTGCTCTTCCGGTTTTGAATGCAATCTGCCAGAAAACTTCAGGGTTGATCTCGGGCAGCTGCACTTGCTGGCGCCCTCACTCTTCGGAAAGACGTGTTTGAGTGGACACATCTGCCAGCTTGACGAAGTCTTTGAAGGCTTCAGCAGTGATTCGATGCTGGTGTTGCAGACATGTGGACTGGCAAGTCCGGTTGAAGGCTTTGGAGACTCTGTTTGGAGCAGCGCAAACTCGGACATGGTCATTTCTGCGGCTGGGGGCATTTATCGAATATGTTGGTGTGCTGGCGGAAGCTCAGCCCCAAATGCCACTTGTCACATTCCGGGCTCTTTTGACACGGACCTGGGCTTTTTGATGGTGATCGGACCGTCCCCGTTGCAACAGTACCGGACCTGTGTCGCAGGCCAGGCCTGTAGGCTCAGCCCTCTGCTTGGGCATTTCCCGGCGGGAGATTCCGAGGACTCCTTGGGCTTGGGGGCGATTGCCATACTTGAGACCTGCGCGATTGCGATCAGCCCAGGGCTTCGGGCATTGAGTTCCGGCGGCATCAATGGATCGCAGTCCCTTGGCGGGCGCAGTGTAGTTCAGTGGGACATGGTCGAGAATGCTTCGGAAGTGCCGTGGCTCCACGAAGGCGCTCTTTACAGGCTCTGTTGGTGCTTGGATGCAGAAGGTTGCAGCCGTGTTGAGGACTACCGAACAGATGTTGGTGGCCTGCTCGTGGTTGGCCCAAGTCCACTGCTTCAAGTTCGAACGTGCATCAGTGGACACTCTTGTGCTTTCGGGGGTGTGACGGGACTTGGTCTTTCATCTTCATACTACATATCCCGAATTCGGCTTTATCAGGATGGTGCGACATCTCACGACGTCCGCGTCTGGGAACTCTACCACTCGGAGTCTGCGAACGGTCCCTGGATCAAGGCCTTCAATGGAGCTGCAGCACCCGGTGTGGGTGAGCAGGAGTTTGGGGGCTGGTCGCCCTCAGCTAGCCCCTACTGGCGCTTGGTCGTGCTGCAGACCTACTCGGGCCAGGAGCCCCGACTACGTGAAGTCCAATTTGTGGCCCAGGGCAAGATCGTACGGCTGAGTTCCAGCCAGGTCGTCTCAGCTTCGGGACTTGTCCACTCTTCGGGAGGCGTCAGCTACCCTGCGAGCAAGCTGGTTGATGGCAAGCTCGAAGACGACTCGCGTACCCTGTTGCAAAGTTGGCTGAGGTTCTGGCAGTGAGGTAGGTTCAATCACCATCATTGTGCGTTTTAAGGAAGCCCCATTTGACCACGTCTCGCTGCCACCACCCCTTTTCAATCCCCGCCAGTACCGTGGCCAACACCACGTTTAGGAGGCCCACTCAGCCACAGAAAAGCGTCCGCGGAAAATCATAGAATGGCTGCAACATGGAGGTGTGAAGTCAACGTCCATTTCAGTGGAGTCGCGGCTAGAGTGTTCCTCCTCCTCCTCCTCCCTTTCCGATTCCCCTTTTATGGGGAGGCTACAAATGGACGCATGATTGAACATCCATTTTGGGGGCTGTCCGAAAATGGATGTAAAATGAATGTGCAATGGACGTCCATTTCCGGACCCAACATCCATTTTACATCCATCTTCCCAGGCAACATGGATGCAAAATGGATGTTCCTCCCCCGCGCCCAACATCCATTTGGAAAACTCCACAGTTTCCAGCGACGGACATGCAAACAAGGGAACACCGTGGCCACATTCAGTTTGCACTCCATTTCCAGTTCACAGTGTTAATGGATGTTCGTTTAGGGCCTAAAAGTTTAGGGTTCATGTCCAACATCCATTTCTAGAAGACTCCCAGCATCCAGTTCCCTAAGCCTCTAGCCAGAATGGGCATCTTAACACCACGTCTGCCACCATCACAGCAATCAGCTTCTGACCATCCGCCCCGAACGAGGCTCAGTCTGTGACATTTTACTACTTGCCAACCTCTTTGCTTTCCGTACTTCTTCTGCTATCCCATATCCCTTGCGTATGCGCTGCAGAAGTCATTTCATGGCCCCTTCAGGCCTATCATCCTGCGATGATGCTATCTACTACTCACTAGTCGCTTCAAATTCTGTTGCTGCCCGGTAATTCTGACAGCGGGCACTCGCTTTGGCTTAGCCTTAGGCATTGATTTCTCGCTGAGGTTGGATTCCTGCCGGCCTGCCTGCAGCCTACAACAAGTGGGAGGTCGTGTTCGACGTCAGAGGTGGTGATGCTTTCCTGGTGATGGAAACCTGTGGCTCTGCTGCTCTAGTCGACGGCATTCCTGGCGCAGGGTTTACAGAGGAAGTCACATCAACAGGCGCCCGGGTGTCCTGGGGTGCTCTCACTGCTATCACTGCGCAGGGAGGCCGATACCAGCTTTGCTGGTGCGCGCGAGGCGGCGCCTGCTTGGATCCAATGGAGGATTTCCGCCTGTCAATCGGAAGTCTTTTCATTGCGGGCCCGCACCTCAACGCAGCTACGTGTTCAAGCGGGCAGACATGCATGATAGAGGCTTTCAGGGGCCAGGATCTTGTGGCAACGGACCTGCTCATGATCCTAGACACTTGTGGAATAGATGCATCGATGGGTGCGCTCATGCGGAAGGTTCCCAGCCTCGGAACCATTACAGTTGTGGAGTCCAGTGATGCATCCGCAGAGTTCATGCGGACAACGCAGGCGTCCGTTGCATTTGATGGTGAACTCATCTGGCCGGGTGGCAAGTATCAGCTGTGTTGGTGCAGGCCTGTGTTAGCGTCAGGTGCGCATTGCGAGTCACCTGCAGACTTTAAGACACCGGCTGGTAGCCTTCATTTGTTTGGACCCTCTCCCAATCGGCAGCATCGAACATGTGTTAGCGGACGCGCCTGCCCTGCACAAGCTGTTACAGGATATGGTGTGTTTGCTGACGATCGAGTCTTACTGTTGGAGTCTTGTGGAGTGCGCAGCGTCGTCGACCGCTTCTTTGCAGTGGACAGCTGGCAACTGAGCCAGGCTTTAAGCAGCACAGCGAATGAGACGTGGCTCTGGAATGCGACGATGCCGCCTGAATCCGAGACTCTAGAGACTTTGGAGATGTTTGGCTGGGGAAACATACCCATCACCACTGCTGGGGGCAGGTACCGGATGTGTTGGTGCTCGAGGCATGCTCGATGCTCAGAGCCTGCCGATTTCAGCTTGGATTTCGGGGAGCTTTTGGTGATTGGTGCAGCTACCAGCCATGGTTACACCTGCGTCTCTGGCCTTCCTTGTCAGATAGACGGCCTGGAGGGAGAGAGCCTCGGTATGAACCAGCATCTTGCAGTCCTTGACACCTGCGGCGTCGGCATGGACACGCTTGTCATGACAGGGATGTCTGACGGCTCATCCTTTTCCTGGGGCTCCACGCCCATCCTCCTTGCTGGGGGCACCTACCGCTTGTGTTGGTGCGCATCCAGAGGCCCTGAGGATTTCCTCAACTCCTCAAACTCCTCTGCTTCAAACGCCTCTCTGGCCTCCTGTTCCGGCACTGGCGACTTCGCATTGGATGTAGGCAGCCTGATGTTGCTTGGACCGTCGCCACACTTTCAGCACGTGACTTGCACTTCGAGCCAGAAGTGCCATTTTGACATGCTCCGGGGATTTGGTTTAACTGAGACCGGCTATGTGCGCGTGATGGAGACATGTGGCGTCCTTGCGGCAGCGGTGCAACGAATGCCTGTGCAAGCCTCCGTCCTTCCCTCTACGGGCCGTTCCGCGAAAGCCAGCTGGGATGCACCGACCTCTGCAGCTGGTGGTGCCTATCGGCTTTGCTGGTACTCTGGTGCACGCAGCTTCAACCTTACCAACATGACAGATGAGCCCGGTGACCCTGCATTCAATGTGGACTTTGGCACTCTGCACCTTCTTGGTCCTGGACCTCTTCAACAGGACAGGACCTGTGTGAGTGGACAGACTTGCAGGGTAGGTGGCATTCAGGGTGCAGGAGCTGAGCTCGGCTCCTTCCTAGTGCAGGATACGTGCGGGAGTCTCGGGGTCCTGCCTCGCTTTACAAATGCAGGCCTCATGGACTCAGCATCGGACGGGGAAGTTTCCTGGGGGGTATCCAAAGTAACAGCAGCTGGGGGCTTGTATCGCCTCTGCTGGGCAGCCTTCCAGTCAGATATCTTCAGTCCAGCGATGGAGCTCAACCGCACATGGAACGGAAGCGACAGCTTTACTCTTGCGCGGCTGGCAGACGCAGCAGATACCACCAACGCGACCAACAACATGAACAGAAGCATCATATTGGACAGGATAGTGGATGTCGGCCAGTTCACCCTGATCGGTCCTGCGCCCCTGGGTCAAGACTTCACTTGCATTGCTGGCGACGCCTGTGACCTTCGCCCGATCACGGGCTACCATCTGCGTCCGAATGATGTCTTTGCGGTCCTCGGAACTTGCGGTGAGATTTCCGCTGCCGCGGAAAGCACTACAACGGTGAGGTTCGAGATTCCGAGTAGTGGTGTGTGGCGCGCACCCACATTACCCGCAGGTATGTACCGGCTGTGCTGGTGTGCAGAGCTGGGTGCCGAAGCATTTAACGCCAGCGGACACAGCAACTTCAGCCGCAGTTCCTGCATGCTGCAGCAGGATTTCCAGGTGGATATGGGGCATGTGTCTGTGCTGTCTCCAGATCCAGCTGACCAGAATTTGTCGGCTGATGATGTCTCCTTTGTTCCGAGCAACGATAGTCAGGCAGGGCCGGGATGCGGAAGCCAAAAGCTATACAGTTGTGCAGGAAGACCGGCATCTGGTACATTCTGACAGGTAGCTGTGGTACATTTTGATAGTCTGGAGCAGAGGCTGTAGCCTGTTGTTGTGCGTCAGGAATATCGCATGCACATCGAAAACTTAGTGTTCACATACTAGTAGGAATTTGGTCTGCCTTGAATCAGCTGTTATCGCGAATTCCGGCCCTTGCAGGTACTGGTGGCCTCCAGCCCTTGGCCTGCACAGGCGCGCACTTGCATCAGTGGACAGCCCTGCAGCTTTCTCCTGCTGGGCATTCAGCCCGCTGATCTCGTCCTGGCTCTCGACACGTGTGGACTGCCCTCTTTAATTCCAAAGTGGCCAGCTGGTGGCCTAAGCCTACCTGTCGCCACCGGCACAGTTGGCGAGAATGGAACAGTTCCTGCAAATGGCAGCAGCATTCCGATCAGCCAGAGATTGTCATGGGGAGGTGAGCCCGTGACCGCGGTCGGAGGTGAGTACAGGCTATGCTGGTGCAGCGCGAGCTCCGCGTCTTGCGACACCTTCGACGATTTCGTGGTTGACTTGGGAAGCCTGCACCTCCTGGGGCCGCAGCCGCATACGATGACTTGCGTCAGTGGTCGGGCCTGCCAGTCCTCCATTCAAGGCCACATGATCTCTACCAACGACAGCATCTGGGTGCTGGAGACGTGTGGAGTACAAGGACAGAAGTTCGAGTTCGCAATGCAAAGCACGATCTCACAGCCTGAAGTCAGCACGAGCACGGTGCAGATGGCAATCTCGCGTCTGGTCGGCCTTGGGAAGCATTACAAGCTCTGTTGGTGTGCCTCTGGCTGCCCATGTGCAGATGGTCGCGACTTCATCGTAGAAGCAGGTGATCTTGTGCTACAGGGCCCATTCAATCAGCAGGACAGGACTTGTATCAGTGGCCGAACGTGTGTTGTCGAAGGCATTCAGGGTCAAGACCTCTCTGACCTGGACCACTATCTGATCCAAGACACATGTGGTGCTGACCAGGTTGTAGAGTCTTTGGTGAACATGGGCTCCCATGTCGAGGTGACGTCGAGCGGCGCTGTGGTTCATTGGGGAGTAACGCCACACACAGTCGCGGGGGGCATGTTCCAGCTTTGTTGGTGCACCAACCGGCCGATCCACAGCAACATCTCTGTTGAAAATCTCTGCGGAACCTCAGCGTCCTTTGTGTCCACAGTCGGAAGTTTGTCTTTGCGCGGTCCTTCACCTCTTGCCCAAGACCGAACCTGCATCAGTGGAACGACTTGCAAAGTCACCGGGCTGGAAGGGCATCTCTTTGCTTTCGGTCAAGATCGAGTTATGGTGTTGGACACGTGTGCAACACTGGGGTCTGCCGGCTATGCTGTTCAGGCAGATGTTGAACTCGGTGGTGTCTTGAAATTCCAGCCAGAGGTACTGTTATACGGCGGGATCTACCGCCTGTGTTGGTGTGGAAGGGTGTCAGACATTGTTGATACAAGGCCGAACCGAAGCTGGGCTACCGCAGAGGATGGCCTGAATGTCAGCGGCTGCCAGTTGCCAGAAGAGTACCTGACAGACTTCGGCGAGCTGCATGTCGTCGGCCCCAGACCTGCGGAGACAGCTCTGACATGTGTAGCCGGGCAAATTTGCAATGTGCGGCATATGGACGGACACCTGTTAAGTTCGCAAAGTCCTGGCAGTGTGCTGATTCTGGATACTTGTGGAGTGCAAATGCAATCACTTACCGCGCACCATGCACTAACGAATTTCACAGAGTCTCCGGCGGCGCATACTCTTGGGAACATTCCGGTTTACGGTGGATTGTACAGACTCTGCTGGTGCCATGTTGGCTGCTCTTCTGAGTCGGCTTATGCGATTGATGTCGGGCAAGTGTGGCTTCTGGGACCCAGTGCAGCAGATCAACATCGCACGTGCGTCAGCGGCAGGATGTGTCGTGTCCGAGACATTTTGGGTGTCGGCCTTTCCAGTGCAGACAGAGCCATGTTAATGGACACCTGCGGATCTCCGACAGTTTCTGGTGTCGTCAGCGCGGGCATGTCTAACATGTTTGCAAACGCGACATCGTTCGTCTGGAAAGTCGTCACGGCACATGGTGGACAGTACAAGCTCTGCTGGTGCACGCAGAATGAAGCAGTTTCTCTGGCAAGAACCCCTGTCTCTCCATCCTTTGTAACGGTTCCAAACTGCAGTGATTCCATTCGTTTCGGGCAAGAGTTTGGAAGGCTATACCTACTTGGCCCATCTCATCCAGATCAGTCCTTCACTTGTGTCAGTGGGCAGACCTGTCAGATTAGGAGCCTCCACGATCCACATGCATCCCTTGAAGATTCTCTGCTTCTGCTAGATACCTGTGGATCTTCAGACAGTTACGTTCCAAGATCTACCATGCAGCCTGCGTCTACGATTCAGAGTGATGGAGAGCTCGTTTTCGACTGGAATGGTGTGCAAACCATGCAAGGAGGCCAATACAGACTGTGCTGGTGTACAACAAGGTCTGAAGATGGCGTCAATGCTTCTGCTCTACATCTTTGTGAGCAGCCCGAACACTTCCTGGTAGACTATGGGCAGCTGCACATCGTGGGCCCTTCGCTGAATCAAATCCGAACTTGTGTGGCCGGTTGGCCATGTCACCTCAGAGGCATCGCAGGCACGGACTTGCAGGCAGGAGATATGTATCTCATTTTGGACACTTGTGGAGCCGCCAGCCTGGTTCCTGAGTCGCCAAGCGGTTTCCTTGAATCCTCCGGGAACCAGGGTACTGATGTCGCCTTCCGTTCACCCGTCTCATCCAGTGGAGGAAGCTATAGAATTTGTTGGTGTGGCCATGGCTTTCCATGCGCTTCATTCAAGGAGTTCAGTGTTGATCTAGGTGAGATGGTGCTGCAAGGTCCTAGCGCACCTGACCAGTCCTTCACATGCATCCGGGGACAACGCTGCAGAGTGTCTCACATACAAGGTGTGTTGTCAGCGAACGCCGAGTTCCTTATTCTGGAGACATGTGCCGTGACGGGAAGAGGGACTGCGACTAGCGCTTTGCCCGTCAATGGCTCCCAGGGAAGCTCAGTGTTGTGGGACATGGAACTGACCGTGCCTGGTGGTGAGTACCGCTTATGTTGGTGTGCAGACGGCGTGCCCAGGGAACGCGCTGTGGAAAATCAGACGCTCACTCCATCTGAGTGGGCGATGCTTGCCACCAATGCCAGTTCTCCTTTCAATGTCAGTTTCTTCAGTCGGAGTCCATGCCTCCAGCCAGCACAGAGGGTAGATGTCGGGAGCTTGCACCTCGTTGGCCCTTTGGCAGACCAGACCTTCACGTGCATCAGTGGCCAGCGCTGTGTGGTTGACTCTGTACTTGGGCTGGGCCTCAGCAGCAACGATTCTTATCTGCTCCTGGCTACTTGTGGCATTCCCAGCGTTACCCAGCGATTCACAGGAAGTGGACATGCGGTTGATATTGCCACAGGTGGTACTACGGTTAGTTGGGGAGTGGTTCCCTTGACTGCTGCAGGGGGTGCGTATCGACTGTGCTGGTGTGCACCAGAACCTTTTAATGTATCAGACCCCTGTGCATCAGCCATGGACTACACGGCAGATGCAGGGACTTTGTTCGTCATTGGTGCATCACCTCTAGACCAGGACAGAACCTGTGTAAGTGGATGGCCTTGCGTCATCGAAGGCATAGGCGGCATAGGCCTCACCGAAAGGGATGCATTAGCTGTGCTCGAAACTTGTGGCCAGGCGGAGGCTCCAGTGGTTTCCCATGGCTCTGAAGCAAGACTGGCTGTGGCTCTTTCGCCTGTGCGAGGTCTTTGGCAGTGGACGGGAGGTGAAAGCGTAGCTGTCGGCGGCAGCTACCGCTTGTGCTGGTGTTCGGGTGCAGGGAGAAATTCCAGCCTTGAGTCGAACTCGTCTTGCGTACTACACACAGATTTTCGTGTAGACATCGGCGCGCTCACGGTACTAGGGCCAGCACCTTTGCAGCAGGCCTTTACATGCGTCAGTGGGCATTCCTGCAGCACAGATGGATTAACTGGTGTCGGGCTCAGCCAGGATGCGATAATGATTCTGGACACTTGTGGTTCAGAAGGGAATGTGCAGAATGTAGAGCTGAAGTTGGATGCTGTCAGCGCCAGGCTTACCATGCAGGGCGGGCAATACAAACTGTGTTGGTACCCCCAAGTCCCAGAAGGAGCCAACGCTTCCAACGTCACTGAAAGTTTGGCAAGCCCGACGTGGAACGCAACTGTGCAGCCCTGCCAGAACTCCAGACATTTCACGGTTGCTTTCGGTCATATGCAGATCATAGGTCCGCATCCTCTGGCACAGGATCGCACCTGCGTCAGCGGGCAGACTTGCCGAATGGAAAACATGCAGGGATTGCACCTGTCAGAAAAAGACAGCTGGTTCGTGTTGGAAACATGCGGTAGTATTACGCCTGTGGCTGGCTTTCCCACGGTGGCTTCTGTCCAACGGTTCGAGGCGGACAACTTAACAAGCCCTTCCAGTATGGTGGTTACGTGGCACACCAGCCTTACTAGTGCAGGTGGCGCATACCGCTTGTGTTGGTGTGGCTGGACGGGTGAGAATTCAACCTTGAGCAGCTGCCTTTCAGAGCTGGTCGATGCCGGCAAGCTGGAGGTGCTCGGACCGAATGGTTTGGGTCACTGGGCTCCAACGCAACGGGGTCACTGTGGAAAGAGGCCACTGCAACCTGCTCCTCGGGCAGGGTCTGCATACCTAAACCTCACCATGGATGCTTGCCGTGCCACATGTGATGCCCAATACCCAGACACCTGCATCGTTGCACTGTTTGCGGATCGTGGTTCGGATGTCGGCCTCTGCAGCATTATGCTGGAATGCACGGTCCTGGCAGACTCTAGCGAGGACACCCTACTCCTTTTCCCTGACAAAGCCCGACCGGACATCAAGCAGTCTCGGACCTGCGTCAGCGGCCAAACCTGCATGATCAAGGGCCTGCTTGGGAATGGGTTGTTGGACACTGACAGCTACATGCTCATGGACACTTGCGGTCTGGCTGATGCATTGATTGACAGGGTCGACGACGCTAGTTTGACGGTCTCTGTGTTGGCTTCCAACAGCACCGTGCTTCTTGGAAGCCCCTTGAGTGCTGCTGGAGGAACATACCGGCTTTGCTGGTGCAGTGGCCTTAGCACATGCAGCGTGTCTGAGTCCTTCCGAACAGATGCTGGGGGTCTTCTCCTCTTGGGTCCGACACCTCTTCAACAGGATCGAACTTGTGTTGCAGGAAGGAGGTGCGTCGTGGATGGTGTGCTTGGCCAGGACTTGGCTGATGGAGACAAGCTCTGGATTCTGGATACGTGTGGCACGGCATCAAAGGGCCCGAGTGGTTTCCTTTATGCGGACTCTGCAAACTCGTGGCTCGCAGGCCCAGCACAGGCAAGTGGCGCCGTTTTCTCTTGGGAGGATCTGCCCAGCAGCCTTCCTGGCGGAGAGTACAGGTTGTGCTGGTGCAGTGTCACGCAGGCTTGTTCGAATAGCCACGAGTACATCGTGGACATAGGCACCATCACTTTGCAGGGCCCATGGTATTCAGCAGCTTCGGTGCAGAAGCGAACCTGCGTGGCTGGCCTGTCATGCATCATTGACGGCCTGGAAGGACGACTTCATGGGCTCGCTATGATCTTGGACACGTGCGGCAGTGCCCGAGCATTCCCATCGAACTCTCCGGTGGCAGCGAGCGACTACAGCGGCCACATGCGGTGGGAAGTGCTGACTCTGCAGGGTGGAACTTATCAACTCTGTTGGTGCACTTCCGACAACGAGGGTGCGAATGAAAGTAACCGATCAGTGTCACATTGCCGGTCTAGCTTGGACTTCTCAGTGCCTTTCGGAGCTCTTACCGTTCTGGGCCCAGAGGCCGGTCAAGCATTCACCTGCGTAAGTGGGCAGGTCTGCACCTTCGATGGCATCAAAGGCCAGGGGCTAGCATCGGAGGACGTCTTCCTGGTGCTGGAGACATGTGGGACAGCATCTCCCGTTGGGTTTGGGGCTGGATTAACAGTTCCCTCATGGACGGCTGAGGGCAACCAGTCCTGGATCTCCGCTGATTGGAGCTGGGCACAGCAGAATGAGAATCTGTCCTTCAGCAGCAACGGAAGTGTGTCGTGCTCCGTCATGCCCGGCACCAAGGGCTGCCGCACTACTGAGACTGTCATCGGTATCACCTGGAGCCAAGCTGTGACTGCCCCGGCGGGAACGTACCAGCTATGTTGGTGTTCCGCCGTGGATTTGTACGCGTGCACGGCAGCTGAGAGGTTCGTTGTCCCGAGTGGCCAGATCCTGCTGCGAGGTCCGCATCCATACCAAGATCGCACGTGCGTTGCTGGCCAGACCTGTTCCTTAGACAGCATTCGTGGAACCCATCTTCTTGCAGGTGATGTCTTCATGATTCTCGAGACCTGTGGGACTTCGTTTCTGCCAGGAGGCATTCCACTTCTAGGGGAAATCTACCCAAATGGTACTGACTCTGTGAGCTTGGAACAAGGAGCTTACAATTATTCGCTGCCTGATTCGTACCGTGTCTCCTGGGGACCCACTCCGTTTACAAGTGGTGGAGGCGTGCACAGGCTGTGCTGGTGCCCGGCAGGCGACCACTGCGCAGAGGGCGGTGGACAACACTTTTTGATTGATGTTGGAGCATTACATGTAGTTGGACCCACTGCCAACTTCAACGAGTACGACAGATGGCTGCGTGGCAGCTGTGCAGTTAGTCAGCAGATTAGCCTTCATGGCGAGGCTACCAAGGTGCAGTGCTTTGAGCTTGGCAGGTATGCTCCTTCCACAGTAACTGCAGCTCAGTTCTACAGCTTCGGCAACTCCTCCAGCTGTGCCCTTCTCCGGACATGTGAAGATTTTGTCTCTACAGACGGGTCGAACTCTGAGGTGCTATTTCTCCATTCCGAGGCTGCTCAAGATCGAACTTGTGTGAGTGGCCTCTCTTGCAGCATCGAGGGCATCATGGGGCTTGGCTTGTCTGCGCATGACTCCTTCATGGTCTTGGACACCTGTGGGTCGACATCGCTTGTGAGCGGTGTACCAAAAAGCACAGTTGTGGCGACGGGCACTGCCGTGATGACCATCAACGGCACGAACAACACGGACCGGACCTCAGACTCACCGAGGCTGCAGATGTTATTGCCCATTCTGAGTTTGAACGCTCATGTGTTGATGAATGGCTGAGGATCGACGGCCTGCCAGTGAGCAGAGTTTGCGAGTCACGTGGAGTACCGTCACACCTGCTGGTGGAAGGCAGGCTTCAACACACGGGTTCGAAGTCATTCTCTGCCATGCTGTAGGAGTCAGAACACGCTTGCAAACATGCGCGATGGTAGGCCTGTGTCTTTGCTTGTCCATGTCCCTTGCAGGTATCGGTTGTGCTGGTGTGCATCTGGCTTCTCCTGTCCTTCAGCAGAAGAGCACAGAGTAGATGTGGGCTCCATTTCCTTCGTGGGGCCCTCGTTTGGGCAGGACCGCACTTGTGTCTCTGGGCAGACATGCTTCATCGACGGCTTGGAGCTGGAGTCAGCCACAAATGCAGACAGCTTCATGGTTATGGACACTTGTGCACTCCCAGATGCGGTGGTACGTGGTTGGCCGGCTGCTGCGGTTGCCTCAAAAGTTGCTGCAAGCGGCACATCTGCGTACTGGGGAGATAGTGTCGTCCTTGGCACAGGTGGCAAGTTTCGACTTTGCTGGTGTGGGGATGGCATTTGTAACTCGGTTCTGCGCTACAGTGTCGATGTTGGCAGTTTGTCGCTGATCGGCCCAGCTCCCTTGCAAAATGCACGCACGTGCATCAGTGGGAGGCTCTGCAGCTTCGATGGGATCGCAGGTGAAGGGCTGCAGGTAGGCGACGCGTGGCAAGTATCCTGCAGTTGTGGAAGCGCTTCGGTGTTATCCGGCCTGCCTCTCACTGGCTACACTCTCAGTGTTAGTTCTGGCAGCGTGAGTTGGGGTGGAATCAGGATGTCCAGTGCGGGCGGGCAGTATAAGCTGTGTTGGTGTTCGGCCTCATTCCCTTGTGCGCTAGAGGACTTCCGCCTGGAAGTGGGGACTTTGGATGTAATAGGCCCCTCTCCATTGTCGCAGCACCGCACATGCATTAGCGGGACGACATGCCTAAGCGTTGGCCTGACGGGCCACTTCATGGATTCGACGTCTTACTTTGCCATTCTGGCAACATGTGGCTTCGCCCAAGCAAGGAGCGTCAACAGCGAAATCGAGGTCGTTCGGTGGGGGCGCAGCGTGCTGACGGCACCAGGTGGCCAATACCGACTGTGCTGGTGCATGCCGAGCCCGGAAGGCATGTGGAATTTTTCCATCAACGCCACGGAGGACTGCAAGCAATGGGAGCAGTTTCAGACAGATGCTGGGACTCTTCAAGTCATCGGTCCGGCCCCATGGGACCAGCGCCAGACGTGCATCAGTGGCCAGTCCTGCAAGGTGGAGGTGGGGGGTGTGACGATGCTGAGTTCCAGAGTGCTTCTCCTGGAAACTTGCGGGCTGGGTATGCAGCTTCCGGGCACTTACTTCGGACCAGCGCAAGCTCTTGCTGGGCAGCAAAATGTCTCTGACATGGCCATGTACAACACAGAGCCTTTAAGGCTCGCCGGAGGCACTTATCGCCTTTGCTGGTGTGCTGGACTGGACCCTTTCGAGAACAGCACGGAGGGTTGCTATGACTCTGCGCACTTTCAAACAGACTTCGGCTCCATTGAGATCGTGGGGCCTCGGCCTTTGGCGCAACACCGCACCTGCGTCAGTGGGCTCACATGCCAGATCGACGGCATTCAAGGTAGGGCATTCAGTTGTCGAGACTCTTGAAGTTTGCGCACCTCTCTCCAGAGCCATGCCCTCTTCAGTGCACTGTTGTCCGACCCAGATACTAGTACAACCTTTTCTGAAATGTATCTCTATCTACAAACGTCTCATTTAAGTAAGGAGTTGATCATTTAGTCAGTTAATCATAACTGTTATATATATATATGGATAGATAGATAGCTAGCCAGCCAGCTAGGTAGGCAGGTAGATAGGTACACGTGGGTCATATGACCGTGCATGCATTATTGGGCTTAATCGAACGGCAAAAAGACATGTGTTTACACGTGCCGCTCGTGCCAACAAGATCCATCAATTTGGGTTGTGTGTTTGGTTGTCTCTGTCTCTGTGTCTGCCTCTGTCTCTGTCTGTCTCTGTCTGTCTGTGTCTGTCGGTGTCCGTCTGTGTCTGCCTGTACGTGTCTGTCCGATGCATGTACGTATGTATGTATGTATGCATGCATGCATGCATACGCGTTCATGCATTTACTCAGCCAGACATGGGACTGCAGGCCTGTCGAACAGACAAGATTTACAGCCGATGGAAGTACTAATGCACGTATGCATAACGAGTGTCAGTGCAGAATGCATGCATACATCTGCACATCATACGGCGCCTGCATCTGAATGTGTGGTTTAGGGTTTGGGGGTTTATCCCCCCCTAAACTCTAAACCCTAAGCCC